GTTTAATTGTGGTACTTGTCATATATTAAAAAAATTATTCCACTTAGGAATTTTTATCAACCAAATATATGTATATTGATACACATATACATAAATATTAATCAATGATTGTCTTCTTAGGACTTGCATATATTAACCTCTAATACGTGATTTCTTTAAGTATTACAGATAGATGCATGCATTTCAATTTTGAAAAACTAAATTCTAGTATTCACTGCTTATTGGGGGAAAATTATAACTCTTAGCACCAGCCATTAGGACATTAATGTCAGCTGTCAGCTATAAGAATAAAGAACACTTAATTGACCTCAAGGCAAGAATGATGGGGTGTTTTAAAAGACATAAAATGTTATGTGGGAATGTTAAGTGGGAAAATAGTCCAGCTCTAGAAATTTGTTTCTCATAGTTTGATGTAGCTCAAAATGATGTATCTCATTGCAGTTATCCCAGGGAAAACAGTAGAGTTCATAAGTAATGGTGTTAATTATTTTGAGAGATTTCTCATTTATAGTTGCTATATAGTCATTTATAGTCACTAACAAATAACATTTAGGCACCACATATCAATGTACATTTGTGCATTTACTGAATACTTTTAACTAATAACTGTTGAATATCACTCTTTCGAGTCCTTGGTAAGTATCTGTTCATTTAGTTTGTATAATCTCATTTATTCTCATGTTGTAGATACTATATTAGATGAAAACAAAATGCAAAGAAAAGAATTGGGGTAATATCCTTGAGGTCACACAGGTTGTAAATGACAGAATCTTGAATACACAAACTACCATCTTAATCATTAAATTCTCATGAGATTTCTATAATAGATTTAACTGTAAATCATGTTTTTTAGATCTTCAGTGGCATGCCTGTCTCTTAGAGACAGTTACAAAGCATATCYTAATGCAATAGGTCTGGTGAACCTAAACTTCAGTAATTTCTCAGGTGGTACAAATTCTGCTGGTTTGTGGACCTTACCTTTAAGCATCAAAGCAGTAAGACCCTGACTGCATTTGTACAATTTTACCAGAAATAAAACTAAATTTCAGGGTTCATGCTTAGTTCAGGGTTTTCACAAAAATATCTGAATATCTCAGTCCAATAGAATTGCAATGAGATGAGATTTCCTAGGCAGTGCTATTGAATCTAAATTGATCTTGTTCTCAAAATTTAATTGGGATAATTTATTATAAAATGCAATTCAGAAAATAATGATTAACACTGATTTATAGACAGTAGTACAGTTCTTCATCAATATTGGGTATCTGGTCTTGACACAGACCCAAGTGATAGTGAAGTGTTGTTACGTGAGAGGAAACAGACTTAAGGCAATTGGCTACTGCCACAGGGCACTTGGTCAGCAGTGCAATACACATCCTGGTCTTCCTATCACATGATCAAATCCTTCTCTTCCATCAGCCGACCTTGATATTGAACTTTGTTCTGTCAACTATCTAAAACTAAGGAAATACTGGGGAAAAAAATGCTATTACCAAAGTAGCTAAAACACAGCCACACTTTGATTTTGATAATACACTGAAAATCAAGGCCTAAGGGATAATCAAGGCCTAAGGGATTCAGAAGCATTAAAATTGTTTTACATTAATACAAATCTGTGTGATATCCAACAACATAGCTGAATGCATCATTTTTTATACCACTAAAACAGCATAAAACATTTAAGGAAACTGTTTCCTTCATCTTATCTAGTCTGACTCAAAATTACCTTTGAGGTGAAGTTTATATCATCTATTTCCCAGATTTGTAGAGTTAGTATAGCTGGCAAGAGATTGGTTATTTTACCTCTTGGGTTTATTTTAATGGCACTAAATAAGATAGAAATACTGTCTTCTTTATTTACAGATGTTATAAAATTTTATGAAATCATATTTAGAGCTCAAAATTGATCTCTAAATGTCAACTATATTTACCATCTTTAGACAGTTAATATTTTCACAGAAAAAAAATCCAAGTTACTGTGGAGACAAAGTAAAGAAGGTAAATTTTTTTAAAAAATGCTGTCAGATAAGTAGCAAAAATGCTTATCTATTTTAGGCCTTCTAAACCTTATTTTTTGATATTTGACAAATAATTTTTTTTTAAGTGGTACCTCTGTATCACTGTATCCACGCCATCGACTTTTGAATGACTTTAAGAATAATAAGATTCTTTTGGAAAACTGTTTCTTCAAGAGGATACTTACCTCTAAAACTAAAGAGTGGGTTTATTCTGAACCCATACTAATACTTCAGTGTCTACTGAATTATCAAGTTGTACCAAATAAGCTTTGCAGAGTTCTCACTAGGAGCTAAGAACTAAGTGTTCCAATCATGCTAAGCAACAAACCCTAGGATCCCTAAAGACAGTGGGAGAGAAAGTAACTGAGAAGGGTAATGATGGGGATACWGAAATGCCAGTTCCTATGTTCTGATTTGGATCTGGAATGTGCTCCCAAAGCTCATGTGCTATGCAATGCAGCAATATTCAGAGGTGAAATTACTCAGTTGTGAGTGCTCTGCTCTGACCTCATCACTAGGTCAATCCATTTGATGGATTAGTAAATTAAATGGATTAACTGGGAGGTTTTAAAAACTACAGGCAAGCGAGTCTTGGCTGAGGAGGTAGGTCACTGAAGGTGTGGCCTTGGAGATTCTCTGCTTCCCAGCTATCAGGAGCCGAGAAGCTTTCCTCTGTGGTGTCCTTTTGCCATGATGCTTCTGCCTTAGAACTAAAAACCATGAAATGAGACTTCTGAACCCGTGAACCAAAATAAACTTTTCCTCCTCCAAGTTGTTCTTGTCAGGTATTTTGATCACAAAGATGCGAAATTGATTAAATATAACCCTTCAACATGATTTAATCATTTCATACTCCATAGGATCAGGAAAGGGACTATAACAATATTTATCTACTAAAAAATAGGTGATGAATCATCAATGACTTCTTTAATTTTTGCGAGTGTCTATTTCAGAAGGCATGAGTAGCACAGGAATGAGAAGATATGGCTTCTGCCTACCTCTTRGTTTTCATTGGCTGCTCCTTCCAGAGACTCTAGTCTTTCAATTCCTCAATGCCCCTCACTCTCCCCCAGCTCTTGGCCTTTAGATTCAGTGCTCCCTCTTCCCACAAAGTAGACATCCCAGACGCACTGTTGGATTCCCTGTGATTTATGCTTTCATAGTGGTTTGCTTCAGAATTATTGCAAAGGCCAATTTGTCTTATTTTAATGTCTCTCCTTTGTTGTTTTACCGTTTTTCCTTATCACTATTCATAGTACTTGGTCCCTAGCAGTTCCATATATGTTCAATCATGGTCAATGGTAAAAAGTGTAAACTCCTGCGGCATTGTTAATGTTTATATCCCTTACAATGAATAACAAATAATGCTTTGTTATATTTTTACATTTTTTAAAGTGGAATCTTTTGCCAGAAGAAACTGAATTGTCTACATGTGACTGTTAAGAAATTCAATCATAAATGAAAGGGCTTCATAAGAACATACTTACATTTAACCTAGTGATTATTTTGGTGTTTTGAATATTTGTTAGGATTTATTGACCAGTATTATCAGTAGCATCATTCTTGGATTGCCTCTATTTGTATATATTAGAACAGTAATAGAAAGGCACATTGATGGTCATTGAAAAACTGAACATTGGAAAATATAACTGGTCATCGACTGCTTTAATTTGGAATATTTAGTGCAATTGTAAAATTCCTAAAGTATTTTAATTTCATTTCTTTTGTTCATCCTGTTGGATACCGAAGCACTGCTACATAGATTTTTGATAAATGAGAATGTGTACTTTATTTTTTATTCAACAGCTAACTTTGTTATCTTGAAAGCTGCAAAAAAAGTGAAATATATGAATGAAAATCAACATTTGGTAAATATCAATGTAGTCTTCTCTTCAACCAGCAATTAAATGTGGTTCCAACTAAGCAGCATAGTTCATCATGGTATTTTGGAGAAGGCAGGTTCAAATTCTTCATCAAGGGATATTCTGGAAATATGCTATGGATAGAACATTTTATTGTCTAAGAAGAAATGTGTTACTTCCTACAAGTGTTTGGGCTAAAGATATCTTTATGATATATTCTTCACAAGTAATTGTTAGATATCAGAATCTAGCTCATACAAGTCTCATTTTACACATCATTTTTTTTTAAACTGGGAAACAAAATAAGGTATTCCACCCCCAAAAGGTCAATAATCTTTTCTTATAAATCCATTCTGCAAAAAACTAGTTTTATGATTCCTCTGGACTTAGGCAAGGAATATATCCAGGAACAAGGTTTCAAAACCAAAGCTATGTTCCATTGTTTGCAGTTACCTTGGATTTTAACTAGATGTGCAAGTTGACTTCTGACCATGGGGAATCCTCTCCATGCATGGATTATGGATTGTTGAGGCCATGGCAGATAACCAGTTCCACAGAAGCAACTTCATGTTCTTCTGAGGAAGATCCATAGCACTGTGGAATAAGGAATATAAATGAGCAATGCCACAAATGACTGAAAATGGGGCTACCAAAATACAACCCTCAAAAGTGAACTCTGAAGGTAGAAAATCTACAAGGAAAAATAATGTAGAAAAATTGTGTTTTAAAACATTCAATAGCCATCTTATGTGCTTAACTACATAACAGTCGAAATATTTGTTGATACCAAGGTCATTAAATTGCATGAATCAGATCAGCATTGCCATAACAAAAGCACAATTGTCTAGAGGAGAAAAGAGCAAATGAAACTATTCAAACTGTAGCAATAAAATATTTGGCCTTTAATCACTTGCAATAAAATATTTGAAAGCTCCCCACCCCCACCCATAGTCATACACCAACACACCAATGTTTAAGCATTTTATAGTGGCCAAAGAAGGGGTTTACATAGATATGTTTATTAATGGAACTCACTTTTAAATTAGTTTTTAATAAGTTGCTAATCGATCTTAGCCTCAAAATTCAGTTCCATCCCATTCCTCAATTCCCTTCCAGATGTCTAGTGGTTAATGTCTTGTACCGTGAAGAGAGCTTCCTGTGGCACTTTGGGAATAATCTGTTCTGTGCTTAAATAAGTATAGTCTATAAAATTCTTTCTCTCTTCTTCTTCCCCTACTAGGATTGACAAAGGCATTTCCAGAGGCAAGTGATTTTCATCCTCTCTCTGTTCTTCCTCCTCCAGGCCCTCCTCTTCCATTCCCTCCTCTTCATCCTCCTCTCCTTGTTCAGCCTCATCCACCTCCTCCTCATCCACCTCTTCTTCTGTCTCTCCATTCTCCACCTCCTCTTCCTCTTCCTCCTCTTCACTACCCTCCTCCTCCTTTCCATCACACAGCTCCTCGTCACACTCCTCCTCATCCTCAGTTTTCTCCTCATCCTCAATTTTTTCCTCTTCCTCTTCCTCCACCAGCTGCGTGTTGGGAGACTGCTTTTCCTCCTCTGGGGCAGGACTGAAGACTAGAGAGGGATTCTGCATGAAGCTATACAAAGTTTCCTGCAGCTCCAAGTCCTCCTCACCGCCGCTAGGGGGCGCGTCATTTCCGGTGGAGCCGGCCGGGGACGCCAAGCCTTCAGCCTGGGCTTGCTGCACTCGTAGCGCCTCCTGCTGGCGCTTCATCTTCTCTTGCTGCCGCATGTCCTCGTAGATCTGGTTCATAATGAACTGGGTGGTGTTCCGTGGCGCTCTCATACCTGGCGCGCGCCACCCATACAGGTTGACAGGCCGCAGCAAAGTGCTCGCTTCGGCCGGCGGGCTCTTTGGGGAGGAGCGGCGAGGGTGGCGGCGTAGGCCGCGGCCTCTGCGGCCCCAGCGCTTCTTCCTGCCTGGAGGCCTTTCCCAGCCTGGATTCCAGGGCCCACGCCAGCAAGAGCAGCAGCAAGGGCAGAGTGGGTGCAGACCATACACCCGGATCATGTGCATCTGGTAGGGGGGCTTCCGGAATCCTGCGGGAGGTGGGCACCAGGGCCCTCCGCAACGCCCCCAGTTGGAGTACACGGCCCAACAGGGCCGTCGGGGAGGTTGGAACCACGGGCCTGGACCGTAGTGCTGCTTGGGCTTTTTCCTGGGAGGCTCATACTCGGCCTTGGGGCCATAGCGGTACCGCCGCTTGTAAATCGGAGCGCCTCGGCGCCTTCCATGGCAGGATGACCAGGTGTGTAAGGGGGCAGAGGATGACCAGCCGCCGCCCAGATTAAGAGGGTCCTCCTTGTTGTAGAGGGTCTGGGTCATGGTTCAGGGAGCCCCCAAGAGGTCTAAATAGTAGCGTCCTAGAAGCTGTCAAGTTTGGCCAGATCCGATGGTTTGAAGAACCTCCTCAGCGTGTGTCTGAGGATGACCACATGCCTGTGGCTGGAATCCTGCCTTCGTCTCTTTCCAGGAGGCCCCCCCTCTTCACCGCTTGCTCGTAGTTATCTCTTGTCCTTCGCACCTGGGTTGTCTTGCCCAGGTGGGTTGAGTGGGACTGGGGCTGGGTAAGGATGGTGGGGGAGGAAGGTGTTGGTTGGCGACACGCAGTGAGAGCTGCTCCCGGGTCCCAACACACACCCGCCTCAGCAGAGGCCTGGGCTGGGGACGGGGGAGCTAGTGGTTGCGCGTTACCTTGCCACTCCCTCTCAACCCAGGTGCTTCACCGTCGCGGTCCTGGCCGGACTGAGAGGCCACAGCCAGCTCCAGCCTTTAAATACCGGCTGGGGGGCCCTCACGTGCCCACCGCGTCCTCGGTTGCCAGGACGACAGCCAATCGGGATCGAGAGGGCCATCCCTGCGTGTGGAGGCGGGGTTCGGGCCTGGACTAGGTGTGCCTTGAACATTCGCAAGGGGCTTGTGACGCAGTTTTTGAGGGGTGTGGGGCGAGAGGCTGGGACTGGTTTTATGCTGCCCAACCCAAGCAACACTTTAGGGAGTTTGTTTGATCCTTTTGTATCATCTTGCGGATCAGGGATGTGGAAGATGGACTTTCAACTGAACCTGGGCAAGGGTGGGAGAACTCGGGTATAGACAAATAAATATTTTTACATCTTTTGGGGGTTCGGGATTCATCATATTTGAACAGATTACAAACATGTATTGAGTGTGTGAACTGAGTGCAGGTGTGCTTATGGCACTTGATCTTCTTGTCTTCTGATACATTGTTACCACACTTCAAAGATTAGGGAACTGAGGGATTATTTTACCCCAGGTTGTGGGGCTAATGAACTTCAGGGATAGTATTTAAGACTAAATTTAACTCGGAGTTCTTAATGACATGGCTATACTACCAACCCAACTTAAATAGGATTCTTGTGAAAGTAAATGTAAAACGTACTGGAAAGTATTTTGCTAATTATAACATACCATATGCATACGTTGACTAAAGAAACATTGTTACCTCATGGGTTTGTTCTTGAGAATAGGAATATTCTGATTATGTCTTTTCCGTTTGTCTCTTCACTGATCTTATAGCATACTTTGGGAGCTTTAGAAGTATTATCGTTAAGCATATGAGTTTTGATTTAGCTAGATGTAATTCAACTTCAGCTCACCTTCCTAAGGCTCAGGTTCTTTACCCATACCTTTAGTCTGGTTCTGTTATATTAACAGGATTGTGTGAAGGATTAAATAAGGTATTTCGTTAAAGAACTTCGTATAATCCATAAATACTTCATTACTTAGTTATCATCATTACTATACTTAACTACTTCAGGGCTACTTCAGTGTATGTAAGAACATGTATCTTTGCGGATGATGTAACAATAGGCATCCCTACCACCCTGTGTTCTTTTCTTGTCCCACTTTGTAGAAATATCAAGGCTCACTAATTGTAATCCTAGAGAAAACCAACCCAGAGTATTTACTTCCCTTTATTACTTTTCTGTAGTGTATAAAATCGTGAAAAATAGAAAACTGATTACTTCCATCCATTAAATCCCAGGGAAGCAAAATTTGTGAAAGTCCTGAAGCTTGCAAAGGTTATTTATGCATTGCTGGCTGGAAACTTAGAACAGTATGGGGGTTCTTGGATAAGGAGTCCAGAGTTACCTTGGGACCTCTGGACTCCACAGGCTTCACTCAATTGCACTTGCTCTTTGGTTTGCTGAAGATAAAACTTCTTGACTCAAAATACATAGTGCTGACATTGGTGGCCTCCAGCGACCCCTTCTAAATGCAGACTCATACCTTTGACAGTTTAACCTGCTCTACTTACCTCAAAATGGATTGTGGTTTCTGGGCTTATTTTTCTAAGGACATATGTCATACTATAGGAGTTTTAATTGAGACCTTTAAGAAATTGACCATATTACTGTAATGAAATTCTCATTATTCTCTTTTTGTTTTTTAAAAATGATGATAAGGTGTCTGGAGTTGTGGCTTAGTGGTAGAAAGCTTGCCTGGCATGTGTGAGGCCCTGGGTTCAATCCTCAGCCCTACATATGAATATAAATAGAAAGATAGATAAATAAATAGAAAGATAGATAAATAGATAAATAAAATAAAAGATCCATTGACAACTACAAAATATTAAAACAATCATGATTGATTTTACAGATGATTAAGTGCATCATGTTTTGCTCAGCTGACTTCTACATACAATATTGGCTTATCTTTCTTATTCATTTTACCTATTAAAATCAATATTGTCATAGTCAACTCTTATGTGAATCAGATGTGATTTTTAATTTTTACATTTTTATAAGATTGGGATTATACTACAGATTTTTTAATGCTCTGCTATACCACAGTTTACCACCAGAGTATGTTAAATATAACAGAAATCCAATTGAAGAATTTTTAAAGACACACTTTTAGTTGCCTATATTTTTATTATACTGTTAAGTGAAATATTCTAATTCAATATCAAAATGAAACATATATACTATGTTATTATAGTCTGTATTAGTTTTCTGTTGCTGCATTAAAAATTACCATAAACTTAGTTGCTTAAAACAACATTCATTGTTTATCTCTTCCTTCCCAGAGGACCAAGAATAGCTTAGCCAAGCCCTCTACTCAGGATCTCATACAAGCTGTAATCAAGGTGTTGGCTATTTCAGGTCCTCTTCCAGAGGCACAGTTTGGGAAAATCTACTCCCAAGATCATTCATGTTAAAGGAGAATTCATTTACTTGTGGATCTATGATGAGGGCCCTTCCTTTTTGCTGTCTGTTGGCTGAAAGCCACCTTTAGGATGCAGAGGCCACCTACAAGAGATCAAAGTTAGATTCTTGATATTGCCCATAGTTCCTTTCCATAGGCTTCTTTAATGCAGATGTACTACATCAAGCCCAGAAAGAGTATCTCCCTAGTTGTTCTTCGTCAGATGGAGATGCACACATAGATACTGTGTACGTGTTTATCATAATCATGGATGTGACATTTATGCCATTCATCATCTTTACCATTCTTTTGGTTCAAAGGAAGGCTCAGAGATGCCAGCACAAAAGGTGGGATGGGTGATTGCTGGGAAACACAAAGCTATGAACACTGGAAAGCAGAAAATTATTGGGGGGGACCTTCTAGTCAGTTTGCTGTATATGTAAAGTAAATCCAGAAAAATGTCTAAAATATATCCTTTATAGCTCCCAATCAGCAATTTATTTGGAAACTTTTAATAATGTTGGCATTGTGAAATTCCAGTAAATGCTGTATGTTGATATAGGTTATACTATGTTTTATGATATGCAAAAGAGAGCATTAAGTTCATATAAGTTAAAAACATTATAATCTTGGTGTGGTCTTTCTTTCTTTCTTTCTTTTCTTTTTTTTTTTTCATTTATGTGACTTGAATAAATTCAAACACTTGGTGGCAGTAGTAGCTCAGTCAAAATTCAGTCTGTAAGCATCCATACCCAAAGCAAACTATGAGAAGTGAACTCCTCACTGAAAAATTTTATCACAAATTCCACTTTTTAAATATTCTATATGGACAATACTAATCATCATTCTACGGCAAAGTGAAATTGGGTATACCTATTAGATTTATTCATTTTAAATTTGACTTTGAAAGAAACTAACCTCAGCTGATTAAATCTATAAATGTAATTCTTCAGAAAGAAATTTGGTATAAGTGATATATTTTGTTAGATAATGAAATTCGATAAATAATTTTTAGGTCAATCTATGCAACTAATGCTGCTCTATGTGATACAAATATAAATAAGTGATTAGAGCATATTATGCATGGTCAGAGGCTTACCTTTTTCCTCTGCAAAGACAACCCCATACAGGAATTTTAAAAAAGGTTGGCCCCATCTTGTGGTCACAGAGACTAGGTGCAAGATAGTAAGCTTTTCTAGCTTTTCAAAGGTGAGCTAAGGAATTTCAAAATTTCCCATTTCTTTCTCTTGTTAATTTGGGAAGTAGAGGGGCTAGTTTGCAATACTATGAAGTGTTTTTTCTATCAAGGAACACTATTATGATATTTCCCACTAATGAAACATCAAATCATTTTAAGAAAATTTTGAAGAGAAAGTTAACTTTGTGTTAATTACAAAGAGTGTGTTTTGACACCTTTAAAGAAAAATGAAGAGGTCAATTTTAAACTCATCATATTACTGTGTGTAGGTACTATTTGCTGGCACCTTCTGATATTAGTAATCCTACAGCAAATCAAGATTTTCAGAGAACTGTCAAAAATTATACTAGTTATAACACCTCAAAACCATGTGTACTCAGTAATAATTAGATAGGAATTGTAACCTGGACAAGTTTGCTTAATTTTAAAGTATAAAATATTCCAGAGCCGTAGAATGCACCTCCTCCCCTTGGGAAAAAAGTCTGCAATGTATAAAGGAAAACTGACATGTAGCAATTTAGGGCAAGAAATAGTATTATTAAGACACATACATGTGGTTTGCTTAGAGGTCAGTTGTAAAGTTAGAGCTGTCAAGGAACAATGTGATATGTTTGAAATGGCCACTTAAATATGATTAGTTAGAAAGATTGCTAAAATATAGTCATTTCATTTCAAGGCTTTAAATAAGCACTTCTCCCTTCTACAGTTCTTGGTAAACAGCAACTGCAAAGTAGCCTTGTGAGTGTGTAATCACAGTGCCTGTGTAAATGTCAACTAGCACTGTCATGTTTGCATAAGAATGTCCTTTTTATACCAGTATTTTATTTTTTGGTACAAATCCCCTTGATCTTGTAATAATATCATACTGATGAGGCTATGAGGATAGAAACATATTCTGCAGCATTTGGGGGAAGACCTGATATCATCAGTAATGTTTTTGCAGGCCAAGCCTCATTAT